CATCGTCCGGGGGAACGTAGTTCCTTGAGATCTTGTCTTCGCCTTGGCCTTTCTGATAAGTGCGGCCGTTGTACATCCGCCGTGATAGCAATGGTTTTAGTGTTGTTTGGGTTTTCTTTGGAGGGGTTTTGCCCGGGGGCCGGGTTTCCCCTCCACCACCGTATGGTTTTTTATTATGTATCCGGGGTGTTTGCCCCACTGATGGTTAGTCACTCGCGTGAAGAACCAGGGAGGGTGTTCGTGGGTCTACGGACATGGTTTGGATACATTAGCCATACGTACAAGTGTGACGCAGATGGTGTAGAACCTTTTAGGTAGGGGTACGGTGATGAAGCACCGGGACCCCTTTGTTGAGTGCAGCAGCCGTGCTGCTACTCTCTCTCTCTCTCTCTCTCTCCTCCTCCTTTCCGAGCACGACAGCGTCCTGGGTACGGGCGTTATCTCACCGTCTGAAGTTAATACACTACACAAACAAGTCCCGATAAGTACGCGGAGTACGGCCGACAGTGGTTTCTGAATAATGGTAGTGCAACCCCTTGGGAGGTTCAATTTTTCCGAGACTCCTACTGCACAACAGTTTCGTCTCGTCTGGTGGTATTCGGACGGAGATTTGTGTTTAGTAGCAGAGACACGTTAGGACACCGCGGACGCTTTGTGCCGTGCGGGACGTGTGGTACGGGGGAAGTCTCCCCCCGAAGGCCACAGAAAATATTTATAAGGCAATTCGAAAGAAAAGCAACAAAACAATCGTTTGTTGTATTCTTTCGGCTTGCTTCATAATCATCGGTTTCTAGATCACGAAGGGTGGAGAGAGAGAAAAATGGGGGTAAGAACCGGCGCTAGAAACACCCCAGCCTCGCGCCTGATTCCCCCTTCCAAAGCCTGTCTCTCCCTCTCTCACCCTGCTCGCAAGTCAGCTACTGTATCTAGCCGGGGAAATCCTACTACTGCTACTGCACGCAGGCGTCTGGAGTGAACAAGTCTCCAAATGGTACTCGACCGTTCAACCACATCATCCACGATGTACCCTTACCAAATTCTAGAAACCTAGCCAAAGGAAAAAAGCGCTTCATGCCATGTCCGTTCCCCCACCTGCGAAAGAAACGGGGTGGGTGGGCGGGAAAAGGCACTACTTCCTGTGGCCGCCTGTCTGTGTTGGCCAGTGCCTCAATCCTCCGGCGTGCGCACGTCCTCCGTGGTCTCACAAGCGCAACCAACCGACGACTAGGGCAAACTTGTGCGCTTTTTTATTGGTGCCCAAAGGTTCGGGGGGCACGCGAACTGCACTCAACATGTATGTGCCCCAGTTTTCCAACAATCATTGCGTTCCAACCCTTACAGGAACGAACGTCAGTTTATTCTGTCTCCGACAACAAACTTAGCTGTTAGTCTACATCATTTGTCACATCCATGGAGGAAGTCCATGGACGGAACGCCCCCCATGAGGACCATGGAGCCCCACGGAGTGCCACGGAGCCCACGGAGCATGCCGTCGAAATCCATGGTATTCCATGGACTCCATGAAATGGATGTTCGCATGGGATATACCACGAAAAATTCCATGTTCTTCGATGGAAAGTTTCCATTGTTTCCGTGGCAATATTTCGGGTCGAGTGGAATTTCGTGGATCACTTGGTAAAAAAAGCATTACACCCAGGGGTATGCTAGGGACATGCACACAATCAACACATCATGCACCTGTAAACTTGGGGTAGTCGCATTTATCAATATACAGAACTGAACGAGTACCAAGAGCGACCTCTGCCTACTCCAAGACCCACCAACCTCTATGTAGCACCTGCATGCGTCAGGCCAACCAAGCACGCACCCAAGCAATACCTTCAACCTAGGTATGGCTTCGACACCAACCTTCACAGCCCCGATATCCGAGCAAATCAACCTAGAGTCAACCAGCGCCACCCTACATGTAGCACCTACCGGATAGGTTTGGGGTTAGGGTTATAGGGTAAACGTTAGGGAACTAGCAGCCGCTTCATGCCCCTGCCAAAGCAGATACCATTGCGTATGCATATCAGAATTGCTATGATCGTTGTATGTGAATGCAATGCCGTCTATACACCACTTGAACAAAACCAGCAGCCCTGCACACACATACGTAAAACGTCTGTAGAGTACTCAACAAGCGTGCATTAGATGCTAACGTTGAGTTCCCTACATCGGCATTGGCAGCTTTGCTCTTTCTGTGACAAAGTGGGCAAATCGCTGACGGGATCCCTTGCCGGAGAGACATCACGAGCCCAATACACGGCATTGGCGATGACTTCCAGAATAGTCGCCTTGCCCAACGAAGATTGTGGGCTAGAGCTGCGGCTGCCGCGGTCTTGCGTTCAAGAGCAAGGACGTTACCCGTGGAAACGGCATCTCTGGGGACTTGTTCAGGTAGCACGTCACAGCGCCGCAATGACTGTATCTTCATGACGCAGACGGCGTGCGAAGCGCAGTCGGCGGGATTCATCTCAGCAGTTCGCAGATACATACAAACTTGTCATGACAAAATAATTCCAATATCGGCGTTTCATAGACTACCTACCATGGGGCACCACGAGGAACCATGAGATCTCTCGGGGCACAATGAAAATAAACTCATGACATACAGTACCATGGAGGCCCATGAGACCGTCTACGGGGCACCAATAGATCATTCCATGTCATGCCATGGCTGGCCATGGGAAATCTCATCGGGCTTTCGGAATGGTTCACCCACCACGGTTGATTCACCATGATGCGATATGAGCAAACTTGATTCGTGAATGAATGCAATCGTAAATGCTCATGAACGCCGATTTGAATCCCAAACCCCCCACAGTGCACCATGAGGACCCATGACCGACCGTGAAAAAAGGAAAGCCCTGAACAAATGCAACATGTCCTGAAACCCTAATAATGTTCTCATGGTGCCGCCCCAAATGAGCAAGCTCATGAGACCCGAGTAAGTTACCGTGATCATATGTACGTCTCCTGGTACGCCATGATGCCCCATGAGAACTCATGGGGCACCTATCCCAAACAACCTGCGAAGGCTACCGGCACCATGAGACCTCATGATGCACCATGAGATTCTACAATGCTCCGAAATTTCCCTGTTTTTTCGCCTCAGGGCTATAGTTCTTGTGGATAGTGTCTTTTAATTATTGCTGCATGACAGTTCATGGTGCCCTATGAGAAGTTTTTCTCACGGTCCCCATGAGAAACCTCATGGCGCGCCGTGACACATTTCTCACGGGGGTACCATGAGATTTCTCATGAGAGAAACCATTTTTTCACGGCAGTAGAGTGCCCGCATAAATACGTTTATCCAGTCCGTTGCGAAGCGGGCTGGGGAGGGCTAGGGTATGTCTCAAAATACATCCGAATCAGTTGCGGACCCCCCTCTTGGGTCCGCTACCCCCACGTGACTTTTTGTCGCTGCCCTTATCAAGGAAGAAACTGACCTTCAAGTGCTAAGAGGGCAAGCTATCTTAGAGCCAGTAAGACCTATGAGTCAGTACACCTAGCTAGGACGAGCTAATTGTACGTTGCCTAGCTAGCTAGACGTAACGTTGGCTAGCTAGGATAAGTTAGTTGCACCGTTGTCCTGCTAGGGTAAGCTAGAGTTGCGTACCGTTGCTCTAGTACAGTAAGATATTTGATCCACCCCGCATGAGCTAACCCCATGATAATCGATAAACCCCAGCCAGCGGCTGTTACGCTAAAGCATGAGTAAACCAACTATTTGTCGAAAGCGTTATAACCGCTGTGACATGATGGATAGAGTACCGATGCTTTCGTCACATGTGTGCGCATGAGAGCTTTCGTAATTAAGATGTTCGCTTGAACTTTTCACCTTCATTTTTGTCTCACAATATGAGCATTGCTAAGAAGTTGCCCTCCTGAGCTTGGTATATATAGTATGTTCATGATACCTACTCGTTGGATCATAGTTCTGCGGATACCGATACATGTTGCAATCGTTCCATGAAAATGTTTCATCGAAAATCACCAACATGCAGTAAGCCGACACGCTCTGGTTGACAACACCAGGCTAGATGGCGCTCTTAGCCACCGTAAATCCGTGCTGATGTTGGGCATCAGCAAAAACCTACGTGATAACAAAACATGCAGCCGATTTCGGGCGGGTCGCTCTTGACATTGCAGCAGTGGCATCTCCTCTACAGCAGTTAACAGCAGAAAAAGGGCAGCTTGCTCCACATCCCGAGCAATCACCGTACGGCATCACACACGTACGCTTTCACTCCCTGGTATCACACACGTACGTTGTACATCCTTTCACCACCATCGCATTTTAATCCATGCAAAACTCCTGGGAGGGGTATCCCATGCCCCCCGCCATCGCTCCTAACAGCATGCGCTTGGGGATACGGTTGTCCTCCATGCGCATAACAAAGCCCACGAAACACAGTCTCCGTTTGCGCACGGTGGCCTTGGTGGTTTCCTCGCAGCCTGCCTGGATGAGGGCCTGGGCATAGCACAGGGGGCGGTCTGAGCGTTTCCGCTTGCTCCAGCAGATGCACCGTGTAAGGAACTGGCGGTGGGTCCCATTGAGCTTCGTGAAGTGCTCCGCTGTTAGGCTCCACGAGCCGCACCCATATGGGAGAGTCTCCACCACTTCAGCCTGGAGTAGCCGGATCTTGAGCTGACGGTAGGCCCGTCACCTGTCGTACATCGAAGCACGGTTCCGGCCGAAGCACTTCCACGCTCGGCAACTGCGGCTCGTGATCTCCCGGTCGGCCTTCCCGTCCGCGGAGATGGTACGTCCAAGGAACACAAACCGATCTGTCTGCTTGTACGTCTGGTCGGCGGCGCTGACCGTGAACGGGCGTTCCTCGATCCCTTTCGGTAGCATGCACATGATCTCCGTCT